TCTAAACACAAATATTTAAGAGCATAGTTCACCCAAAAATGAATATTCTGTCATCATTGTACTGATAGTTGAAACATTCTTCATCAAAAAATATTATTTTGTGATCTGCACAATAAAGAGTCATTTGTTGTGATTGATGACGGAATTTTCATATTTGGGTGAACCGTCCCTTTAATTCTTGATTATAATCTGCTTTATTTACAGTATTATAAACTGCACTTTGCAGATGGTTTTTGTTGTGTATGCTCTGCTGATTCTTGTTATGAAAACTAAAAATGGATTTTATTCAAAATCAGTCAGGTGAGAATTTTCTGATTTGGCAAATCAGTTCTGAAGCTTTATTTTATTTTTTTATTTTTTAAGCCAATTTTTTTTTTTTTTTTAAAGATGTATCCAAAGACTAGCTGATACATTCATTTCCATTCTGCTTTAAAATATATTTTGATGTTTAAAATTGGATGACTTGCATGAATTCTGTCCCTCCAGACCCTTTATCACTGCAGTATATGTGCTGAAACGATTTTAATTAATGTGAAAAGTTGTGGTTGCAGTTGTGGCTAATGCTTTGTTTTCCTCCCTGGGTAGTTCTCGCTAATGCAGTTTTATAATGAACTGGATCATCCCTCAGTGAGGACAGATGCAGTGGTTTGTTAGATAGGAGAAGTTAGCTGTGTGGATATATATCAGAGCCAGCTTCTCTTGTGCTATTAGGCATCCTGCCAAGGCATGCCAATAGCTTACAATACAGCACAAATCTCAGTGATGAATGACACAGACAGATACATACCATATCTCACCCTCAGCAGATTTCAGCCGCTCTCAAATCTCTTGTTTTTATGTGCAAAACACATAAGCTGAATTAACTTGAAATCCACTTGTGTAACCTCCAATATGGAGGTGTTTTTGTAGATTTGAAGCATGTACACACATACAACAGACGCATAGATGTTTCTAGTAAATGCACCCTTGGATTCTCTCACGTTGGCTCTTTATGCAGAGAATTTTCTGGTTCTGCCTCTCAATGCCATATTATAGCATCCAAATCCATTTAAAGTAAGCTCACACTGATTAACGGGCCAGAGAAGGTGTGAAATATTTCGACTGCATCCCAACTGAAATGTCAGGTAGTGTGGCAAATGTTTGAAGTGAACGGGGCTAGAGATTCCGTTTTCTGTTAAAGGCTGAACTTGGCATCACAAATCCAGACGCTTTCATATCACCTGACACCTGATTTGAATTGCTAGAATCTTTTTCACTGCAGAAACTGACAGTTCTAAATATGTGTTTGCATGTATTTTAAATGGCTTTTGACACCTGATGTCAAGTTATAGAGCATAATTGTAAATGAAGAATATATTGATTATTTGAATCATCAGCATGGAGATCTGTGTATAATTGAATTCCATTGTCATCTCGGTGCATAAACATGTTATGGTGTGTGGATCCTGTGTGTCCTGTGTCCTTTAGTCGACATTGAATCAAAATTTATCTTATTTACTTTCTTTTATTTATTATACTTACATTATATTCATTTATAATTATATTTTGTGTCTTGTAATTCAATACAGTTCTCATTACTTTTTTTATACATACATACTGTATGTACATTACTGATCAAAAGTTTGGAATAATTTTGTTTTAGTAATATAGTTAATATAGTTTCATGAATATATTAATATACTATATGTTAATATACTATATATATATATA